GACCTGTTCCCGGACTCGGTGCGCGCCACGGCCACGTCCATCGGGCATCGGCGCCAACTGGCTGTGCAACTTGATCGTCGGCGTGGCGTACCCGTACATCGCGGACGCGCTGGACGACTACAGCTATCTTCCGTTCATCGTGCTGCTGGCCATCTTCTTCCTGCTGTCGCTCAAGCTGGTGCCGGAGACGTCCAACAAGTCTGCGGAGGAGGTGCTGCGTGAGTACGAGGAGCGTCGTCGCCAGTAAGCGGTGGAGTTCGAGTGAAGTATCCGTCCGTTGGGAGATAGGGACATCGCGGATTAGTTTTTGATGTTTAAGGCCTGAGGTATTGGGATCTGGTACTTCATCTTTGTAGGGATATCTCAACAAAGTTTATCAGAAGTGCCAAAATCTCGTTACTTCAGGCTCGCTTTTATTTGATTGGTGCGAAGTCCCCATTATAATGACTTGGTACCGGTATACCTCTCCTTACCGTAGTGTCTGGTGGTTGATTAGATTAAATAAGTAGGTTTAGGGTTGCAATGTATAGCAGGGGGCGGCGCCCTCGACCTCCCCGAATTTTACTGGGGTATAGTGGGCTTTTGGGCCCCTCGGACGAGGGGCCAAGAGACTCCTCACAGACTTTCAGTAAGGGCACCGTCATCGGAGGGCCTTAAAGGAATGGTACATAAGTGCACGGCGCCCCTTCGTCTCGCGGTATCACGGCGGTATGAGCACGTCGGATCGCTCTTGGGACTCTGTCGTGGCGATCTTGACCCATGAGAGTGTTGCCTCAGCGAAGGGCTTGTGTTCGGCGCTGCAAGATTTAGATGCGATGACGAATTGTTGCATTGCTGGCACTGCTTTTTGATGCAGGGTAGGAGCTGCTGGCAATTTTGATGCCGCGCAGGAAGGCGTGCTGGGCGATGTCAGACATGCTGCATCTCCGAAGCTCGATAGCTAGGTTGAGTGCACGGCTATCAGCTCATCACTCTTGGTGCAACGGGGCACATAGCAACCATCCGAAAGCACAACGCTGTGTTGGAGCTTATTTGCTCACGAATGACCAGCATTCGTGCCGACTCGAGCTAGGTTCGCAAAACCTTGCAACAAAGCGCAGCCTCGGTCAGGTTGGTTCCCTTGCTACCTGTGCATGCAGTTTTAATTAAGAGCAACACAGCTGGCAGAAGGTGTTTTGATGCATAACTGTGCTGGCAATACCGGATTGTGATCAAGTAAGGCAGCTATTCTGTCCCCCAGCAGGTACTGAAAACCATCGCAGTAGTTTCTGTAGCTGGTTCGATGCCCATGACTAGTATAGATAGCTAGAACTATTTACAATCTATATGGTAAAGGTGCTAAATACATTTGACTGCACAGCAGAAGCTTACAGCAAGGCAGGTCTAAAGCCTAGGCTTACACTTCAAAAATTGACTAGTAGCGCTGATAAGCTTAGGCTGATGCTTTGGGGGCGTCGTCAAATGTACAGTTTTACTGTACGTAAGAGGTCGGCCCACTAGCAACTCGACTCGAGCTGCTCAGCTAGTTGTATTTGATATACCAGTATTACAACAAAAAGTTTTTACCGTCAAACGAATGTGGCTGTTCTGTTTGATTTGATACCAGTACTACGTAGTATCAAATCAAACAGAACAACCACAGTCGTACATTTGTAAGCGTGGCTTCCTAGTTACACGGTATCAGTTTAGTTTAGTTTAGTTTAGTTTAGTTTAGTTTAGTTTAGTTTAGTTTAGTTTAGTTTAGTTTAGTTTAGTTTAGTTTAGTTTAGTTTAGTTTAGTTTAGTTTAGTTTAGTTTAGTTTAATTTAGTTTAGTTTAGTTTAGGAATGACTAGTGGTAGTAGGGAACACTCCCTGCATCCAGTCACGCGTGTAGATGTCTTGATGTACATATTGTTCCAGCGATAGAAAGCAAAGCTCGTACTTCAAGTACTACATACATATACGAGGCGGCGAACCCAATTAAGCGGGATTGGATACGGCGAGGTCTCTCGACCCCCGGACACTGGACGCCTACCATATATGCATTAACGGGCTGTCATAGTTGCAGCAAGTATGCCTGGCATACTCGGCGCATAAATCTCTCGGAACCCAGATCTGGTGTCAACAAGCCGCCCAACCCTTAGATATATGTCGTGTAGCCATCATAAAGGTTTGACTTGCGATTTGTATAGTTTATGATGACCATCACTCCTACATATGTAAACTTCACTCTGTGAGCTTTTCGCGTTGCATATATCTTCCGACGGATCGAAACGACGGTCATTTGCGAATTTGCATCCGAAGGCAGCAAGTCGACAGCAGAGCTCCGCTTCGAAAGGTGTGGTTGCTTGTAGCCAAAGGGCTGTTGCCGGTGATCACGAGGACTCACTTGATGTGTGCGTGCAGGCTATGGTGCGCCTCGCCCATTCCGCTGCTCACTGGCAGCTTCGCTGTATCTTCGACACGTCCGGCGAGGACGAAAACACGCCGCCCAACGTCCAGGCAAGCCCGCAGCACACCCAAGGCAGCAAGCGCAGCGAGCAGCCCGTCAGAGACTGCGCCAGCTCCACTGGCACCGCGACTCCTCCATGGGTGCCGCCGGAGAAGTGCCAGCGCCGCTCCAAGGCAGTGACGAATCGACCGCCAAGCCCGGAGGCAACACCCCCACCTGCGTCGTCGCCGCCGACAACCCGTCCAAGCGCCAGCCCCACGACGTCGTCGCCAATTTTGCTGGAGACGCCACCAACGTCGCCGGCGCGCCCCAGACTACGCAAGGCGCTTCAACCCCGCCAAGAAGGACGTCGTGCTCGGCGTGAGGCTGCTGCGCCGTACAGCCGTCGCCCGTCGGTGCCTCAGCGTCCGGATCGACCCGCGGTCGACCCACGTGGATCGATGAGCGCCAGCACGGATGTGGTGCGCCGCTCGCCACCGCAAGCACAGCGGCCACGTGATCAGTTCGTGCCAGCTCGGTGGCCATATCACGTGGCCCACCTCCGCGAGCAGTTCAACCCATTGGCGACGGTCTTTCCGGCGGTGCCACACTTCGGGTGGTGCGACTGCCCGTCGCCGTGCCGCGTGGACTCCTGCCGCAACTCGCGCATGCACCTGTATTGCAACATTAATTGTTGCCCCTTCGGAGGCCTCTGTGGGAACGCGCTGGGCGAGTCGAACAAAATCTACCTGGGGAAGAATGTGCGCACAAAGGCGCTCGGAGTGGTCGCCGCTAAGGCCATTGAAGCTGGAGAAGTCCTCGGTCAATACCTCGGCGAGATGGAGCACGTCAGCGCTTCTCGCGCGAATCGACCGCGCAACAACGGCTATCGTTTGGTGATGAAGATGCAGCCAGAAAGGCCCACGCACCCAGTCCGTGTGGCGATCAATGCAGAGAACATGGGCGGCCTCATGTGGTTCGTAAAGCACTCTTGCGAGCCGCTGGCGAAGTTCGTCGAGGTCTCCAACGGACGCCGCACCACCGTTGTCGTGGCGAGCACGGAAGACATTCGTCAGGGCCAAGAGGTGACGGTCGATTATGGCGATGACCTGGGGTTCATCTACCGATGCGGATCGGACAGATGCCACCATCACCATCTCCAAGATGCTCAAGATCTGTAAGAGTGCGAAGGAGAAAGGAAGATAGAAGAGCGAGCAAGACAAAGGAGCGTGCAAGGCGATAGGTGTATTAACATTTGTATAGGTGCATAATGTGAACAAATGAAGATTGCATTGATGAGAAGAGTTCGAGTCTCCTTTGGCTGACGTTGGCTGAGTTGCATCTACGTTGCAGGCCGATGTGAGTGCATGTAGCTCGCGGATGTACTTCGTGCCTTCGGCGCTGTGTTGAAGCTCGTTCGGCTCACGCCGATTTTCGCACCCATCGACGAGAAGGCGCATCGCAGTGAGCCCGCGCCAGAGTTCGCGCCTAATGACGAGATGATGGGCCCTTCGAAGATCTCGCGCGCGCTAACTACATTTTGCGCGCGCAGATTTCGCGCGCAGCTCTGGCCTAGCCTTACAACGTACAAGTCTAACATGAATTGGTGGCGAGGACGCCTTCGCGCCCAGCAAGCTGCCAGTGCCGCAAAGAAGCTCACTTTTCGTTTTGCCGAACACCAAGCAAGCCCCCCCACTCCACCTGCGAACCCGACGCCCCGCCTCCAAGCCCGGTACACGGGTCCAGCACTGCTGACTGCCCCGCTACGTAACGTGACTGACGCTAAGCTGTCTGCTGTGTTTGTAGATGCCGAAGCACTCTGGTACCGCTAACTACACGATGTCCGACGTCGATCGACTCCTCGCGCTCGTCGAGAAGATGCTGCCGCTGGGCAAGGACGAATGGGAGCGACTGGCGATGACGTACATCGCCAACGCGGTGCGCCCGAGAGAGACTACGAGAGCCTTCGGCGTAAGTTCAACGTGCTTTACAGCACGAGGAAGCCGACCGGCGTGCAGGAGACGCCCCCTCACATCAAGAAGGCGAAGGTGGTCAAGCTGGCCGTCGACGCCAAGGCCAACGTCGTCGAGATGGACGCCGTGGCCGACGACGACCAGCCCGACTTCTGCTTCGAGGTGGACCCGGACGACAGCTTGTACGAGGACGGCGATGGCGACGGCATGCAAGCACGGGGTGGCCAGACCGACCGGCGGCGAGTCGCTGGGCTCCGACGAATCGCTCAACGACGAGTCGACGGTTTATAGCCGCTCAACGAGCCGGGGCGAGTTCCAGGACTTGCTGACGTCGCCACCGGGCATGGAAGGTTTCGATGACCTTGCCCATACACCACATCCTGCACCCGGCCGAGCGGGGCCAAGTGCACGTCGTTCGGGCTCTGGAGGGCCACCGCCATCACGCAAGGCGGCCGTCAATGCTACCAGCGGCGAAGCTTCGCTGCCGACGCAGCAACCTGCGACGCAAGCTGCTGCTGCTGTCAGCCGCGACGATCTCGAAGCGGCCAGGTACCCCAAGCTCCAGACGTCGTCGAACCGCCTTGGTGGCACTGATCTGTCAAGCTTCCGCGACACCATTGGCGTCAAGCGCGCGAGAGAAGACAAGAAGGACACGGCCGAGGCAAGCTACGCCAAGGCTAAGAGGATCCGCGCCATGAAGGCGACCACTGCCCTCAAGTCGAAGTTGGACGGCATCGAGAGCAACTCCAGCAGCATGCGCGGCAGCATCCTCGAAACGCTGCTGGTGCTGCGCGAGGAGAGCGAAAGGAAGGCTAAGGCCCGACTGTCGTAATGCGGGTTGAAGGATTGTGAGGCGATGAACCCGGAGGTTACCCGAATGTGACCCGAGAGTGAGCCACTTGAATTATGGGACGCCCTGGCTCGGCGTCTCGTATAGAAGGCCGGCGACTGATTACGAAACCCGATGGCGTATTTACGGAGATCCAGAACGGGGAGGCCCGTAACAAGGATGATGACACCGCACGGAGACAGCAGATGACGTCATGAGGTAAAGGCGTGCAGCATACTGGTTGGTTGGTTGGCCGGCAGACGAACCGCCGGTAGATAGGCAGTTCAGTTCAGAATTTCCAACAACGAGACAAGGTACTTCTTCATATTAATCTTTGTGTTGTGCGGTTAGCGCCTACGTGTGTACTGTGACTGTTTCCTACCTACATGCGAAGTGTACTCGGGGTTCTGGATTGATTTGGCCTCCCCGATAACCTTCTAGTAGCGTAGTGTGTTGCATTGTCTGGACTCAGGGGGTCAGCTCTCAGTGTTCGACAGTAGGACACTCTAAACGGTTTAGTAAGGTATTGGTGTGCGTCTCGCACTTTGGTTTGGACCCGCAGACTAGCTGCGGCAGGAGATCTCCAGTAGATCTCGTACATATTGTACAACAAGTTGTCATACAGTGGGAAGAGTTACCTCGCTGTACAAGTGCATCCGCGACAGAGTTAACCTAAGTCTCTGCCTGCGAGTGTAACGAACCCCATATTCACCCCTTCATATTACACGTCTTCTAGGAATTACGCTAGATAAAGATCCGAGTCTTGCTACAAGGGTACACAAGGTGAGGCCTAGAGATCTCGGGACTAGTTCTCGTTGTCTTTGGGTATTTGGCTTGCAGGGGCAACCCCCCCCCCCCCCGTAGTTGCGTGGCAGGACACGTGTGGGAGTTTATTAGTTTTTATCTGAGGGACTCCACCACAATGGTGCGCGTGCCCGGATCTACTAGTCCGAAAGGGGACGTGAAGGTGAAGGGTGAGGTATGGGAAGACGGAACTCCGCTGGGACCGGCGGAAGTTAAACGTGAAAACACTAGGTCCACCGACGGACAGGCAATGGGGACGCCTGAGCCGAAGGATTTCGTTTACGAAGAGAAGTTCCCCGTTAAGGCTCCGAAATGAGCCGTCCGGGACTCGGTCCAAAAACCGAGTTCCATTTGGACCTGCTGCTAAGCGGGACCCTGGCGTCGCTGAAAAGCGAGGTCAAAACCTGGAGCGCGAGCATCTGAAGGGGGTCATCCGCGACCCCGCTGCCCGAAGCGATGCTCTAGACGCTGCGATGGACTACATGGAAGTCGAAGATGCGAAGAAGAAAGCCGAGAAGAAAACGGAGAAATTGGAGATCTCGGCGCTAGCGGTCCATGGCCCCCGCAACGACACTCACGATGAAGACAAACGATTTCGTGAAGCCGAAGTCAACTACTTCCGTCTAGAGCTTGCGTTCCTGCTTCAGAGAGATCCGCTCCTGCGTAAGTTGGGGCTGACGATGCCATAGCCTCTCACGGGTCCAGTTCGCAACCCGCGCACGCTAACAATCCGAGATCCGCTTCACGCCGTCACGATGCTGTTCTGCGTGCTCGAAGATGCTGGTTTCAAGGTACATGAACAGCGGATCTCCACCGATGTACGCGAGTACGATCTGGAAACCACCGTCCTTACGCTCGCGCGGGTGTACGCAGTGTTGCAGAAGCTCGTCCCGAGTGCAGATGTCTCATCCGCGCCGTTGCCGACCGGAGACCTCACACCTCCTCGGTTGGACGATTCCCGGATCTCCTTCAAGTTTGAAGATGACGGTGACGCTCTCATGAGGAGCACTACCTCAACCAAGAAGCCTCCACCGGCCCCACGTGTGTCCTGCCGAGAACGACGTGCGCAAGGGATCTCAGCGATCGCTGCAAACGATGTAGGACGCGGGAAGTCTGCGCAAGTGTCAAATATTGCGCAGACTCGCCCAGCGAGAGGACCACGTGGGAGGATCCAGGAGGCTCAAGAGGTTGCAACAGAGCCCGGTCGCCCCGGCGGTGTGGCTGAATACCTTCTTTACCAGTTTGCGAACGAGCGAGACGAGCCTGAAGACGTTGAGATGCAACCTGTCACTGCGTCTCCCGCTCGGCCACGTATCGGGTACCGATCCCAGACACAACCGGAATACCAAGGAGATCTCCATGACCTATCCGATGACCTCGACTATGATGGAGGTGGTGGAACCGGAGGTCGTGTCGCAGCTGTGTCCACGGCGACTAGGTTGCGAGCATCGGCTGTGTCCGAACCGAAGGACTTCAGCGGCAAGGAACATGACGAAGAAGCCGCCCGAGCCTGGTTCAACAAGGTTAGAACGGCTTTCCGACGGGATCAGATGCAGCCAGACGAGATGTGCTTGACCTTTGCCGATTTGATGATAGGCCCTGCGCGCAATTGGTATTACCAGCTGAGCCGCACCGCTCGCGCGTCGTGGACTGACCTGGGTGAACAGTTCCAGATCCACTTTTGCGGTAAAGGGATCTCCCTCGCGCGCAAGTACTACCACATGCGGCGCGGGAGTCAGGAAGACCCACTGGATTACTTATACCGGCTGAATCTGGCCGGGATACGTGCAAACTTGAAGATCCATGATGGCACCAAGGAACAACGACGTGAATACGTCGACCACTACATCGATACAGTCCAAGATGACGATCTCGCCGGATCTCTGGTAGTGTTGAGGCTGCCTGACTCAGAAGCTCTCGAAGACGTCCTGTTGGCCATGCGACGCCGCCACCAACGTCGCAAGATTGAGCAAGGTTCGAAATACCGCCAATAGGCCCCCGCCCCTGCAGCCTCCTCGAGGGCGGTGCGGGTTGTGACTACCGGTCGCGGACGCCGCGGAGATCACGGAGATCTCAACGAGTTCGAGGGCGAATCAAGCAGTTCCAATAGCGAATCTGAAGACGAAAGAGCGCACGTGTTTTCGGCAGCTAGGACGCCTACACCAGGAGATGGTGAACAGCCAGGGGCGCGCCAAGACCGCGAAGACCAACTGGGGCGCCCGAAGTACGGCATTCGATGCTCACACTGTGGATCTCGCAAGCATACGGATCTCGGGTGCTGGAAGAGGCTCACGTGCCAGAAGTGTGGACGCATGGGTCATCCTACCGACAAGTGCTTCTACGTCTGCAAGTGCTGTGGAGACGTTCACGAAGCAGGTCAGTGTAAAATCGGCGACTTCTTCGATGCTGATCGCCAATGGTACAACTCGACTCGCCATGCCGGACTGCTGCCCGAGAGCGTCGAGAAGGCGTTAAACTAGACCGCTCGCCAGGCCTGAACAGCCTGGTACGTGACGAGCGATCGAAGTTCTGCATTTATGCGTATGTTCAGAGGAAGGCGCGAGCGTTAGAAGACCCAACTTCCTGTAATGCGGTGAATACAACCAGATCTCTTACCTCGGATGAAGATGACTATTCGCGTCGCCCTTGTGTGATGGCCCTTCGACTGTCGCCGGGTGAACGCCGAGGTTACTGGAAGTATTACACTCCCTCCAAGTGGTTCAAGCAGTCGAAGGCGACCGGTGCGGTCAACAATGTCCGTGCTGTCCTACTCTTTGATACTGGAGCCGAAGTGTCGATAATCGACTCTACCTTTGCACGTAAGGTGGGTTGTGAAATTGATACAACACAGACAATGGATTGTGTTGGTGTAGGGGATGCTGTCTACCGCACAGAAGGCCGAGCAGAAGTCAAGCTCACTCTGGCTGGAGAGTTGGTGTACAAGTTCCGTGTGTGGTTTGGAGATCTCTCAGGACAAGACGTCATTCTCGGCATGGATTTTATGGTTCCTGCGGGGGTGAGGTTGGACCTGGCTGACGGAACGCTCTGTCTGCCGGACGAAGTTCGCATCCAGATGACCGACCGTAAGCCACTGTATAGCAGCAAGGCTGACGCGGTCTACGCAACGGGATTCCATGAAGTCGGTCCTGGCCAATGGACAGAGATCTCACTCAAGTCCCACAACAAGCGGTTTGAACTGTGGGTAACGAGAGGGGGAAAATGGGTGATCACGGTGGTGAATGGTGGATTCAGTAACAAGTCATACCTCCGGATCACCAACATCAGCACGAGCCGCCTGGTACTGGATCGTTTGGTGTATTTGGCAATCTGGTTACCCGTTGGGCAGACCCCGCGTCGACCTGGATTCGCTAGGAAGGATTCAAACCGCTATCGGGAGTGGCAAACACTTGCGTTCGAAGCAGCTGTGGACACTGGAGATGCAAACGAAGCGGAAGTTGAAGAGTCTGGACCGCTGGTCGAGCGTCCTAGCTACCGGACTCCGACTGCGATTTTAGCACGGCCTCCACAAGTGAAGACCGTTGAAGCAGCAGCAACGTCAGAAGAATGCACGCGACTCACACTGGACGACACACATCCTCAAATGCAGCTGATGAAAAGTTCGACTGATCCGACTAGGGTGACCGAAACCGAGGAGGACGTGATCTCTACCGATCCCGGTCAGGTGATCTCTGGTATGGACAGCGATGACTCCAGTCTACCGCGAACGGAAACTCACGCAGGCGAGGAGAGCGGCCTATCCTTTACGAACAGTGGCGAAACTGGCGTCGACTCCGGCAAATGTGGCTGAGGCCGAGCTCCGCAAGGAGTTCCCAGAATATACCCCTGACCTCATGCCACAATCCAAAATACACGCCGCGACCACCGAGGAAATGGTTCATCGCACGTTGTCGGTCATCGTTGAAAGCGACTGGAGCGACAGCTGTACCTGTGCGTCTGAAAGCGCTGAGTCTACTGGTAGCTGGGGTAGTTTTGACTGGCAGACCGACGACGAGAAAGAAGAGGAACCGGTGAACGGAATGCTCCCAGTGACCCAGGTCGAACCAAGCCAAGGCGGAGATGCAACCGACATGGATGAAGCGAAGTATGTTCATGAAGGGGCCGATCTCACTGCGGAAGACATCGAAAAGGAGATGGCGGTGTTACCAGAGATCACCCTGACGGCAGAAGTTAATAAGGAAGATCTCAAGGTCGGGGATCCAACTGAGAACACAGCAGAGGAGATTGATCGTCTGCGTGATATCATTTGGGAGCGGCGTCACCTTCTCATCGGCAAAGGGAATGCTTTACCCCCTGCGGCGACGGGGGCGATCTGTGACATCGACGTTGGTGGTGCACGACCGGTGGCTCAGCGTTGTCGCCGGATCCCGCCTCAGTTCCGTGAAAAGGTGTTCCAACTCGTCAAGGGGCTACTGGGGGCGAAGATTATCCGGATCTCCACTTCTCCTTGGGCGTCTCCGATCGTTATCGTCGTCAAGAAGAACGGCGTGGACGTCCGACTCTGTATCGACTACCGTCTGGCCAATGCTCTGACACGACTGATGATCTACCCATGCCGTTGATTGACGACCTCCTCGAAGATCTCGACAGTTTGCTGTGGTTCTGTTCTCTCGACATGGCGAGTGGGTTCAGGGTGGTGAGTATGACCGATCGAGCCCGAGAGATCTCCGCGTTCATTACGCCGTTCGGCCTGTTCGAATGGCTGCGAATGTCGTTTGGTCTGAAGAATGCCCCCAAATCTATCAGCGGCTGATCGACAATGCGTTATATGGCGTGCTGCGGATCTCGCCGGGTCAAGATCGCGCGGATCTCGTCAACATTTTCGAGGAAGGTGTTCCTGAAGATCGATCGCTGCCGTCGGTGCTGGGGCGTCGCTCTTACATCGACGACATCTTAGTTGGAGCAAGCTCGTGGGACGAACTGTGTGAGAAGGTCAAGAAGCTCCTAGAGGTTTGTGACCGCTGGAATCTGTCTATTAGCGCGGAGAAGAGCAGTTGGGGTATGAGCAAAGTCGACTATCTGGGGTATCAGATCTCCGGTGAAGGCCTGTTCACCAAGCCGAAAGATTTGGCAAGTCTGGAGGCGTTGAAGTTTCCCAAAACGCTTAAGGCTCTCCAGTCATTCCTCGGCAGTCTCAACTACTACAATCGCTTCATCGAAGATTTCGCAGTATATGCCACAGTGTTGTATGAGTTCGGAGATTCCGATTTCATCAAGGGTCGAGCCACAAACGTCAGCGAAAATCACGAGGCGACTGTGAGATGGGGCCACGCGCTACGAGCCTTCGATACCCTGAAGTTCAAGATGATCAACGCACCCATGCTCTACCATTTTGCCCCAGAGTTGGATCCTGTTGTGATTGTGTACGCAAGCAAGTGGGCGATCTCTGCCTCTCTCGTTCAGTGTCGTGATGGAGTGTACGTACCCGTCAAATTTACGAGTAGGACACTGCGGTCTCACGAGATCGGGTACGACATTGTGGAGAAGGAAGTACTGGCTCTGCTAAGAATCCTCGATAGCTGCTTCACGATGCTGAGTGGTCGACACATCCGAGTGCTCACCAGACACACGACTCTCGCATGGCTCTTCCGCGCGAAAGGCTTGAAGGGACGGCTAGCTCAGTGGGCGGCGCTGCTCTCCCCCCATTCGCTAGAGATCGAACGTTTAACGAAAGGCGAAGATGAGCTGCTAGGTTTGGTTGCCGCCAGTATCACTCCGCGCGCAGAGATGGATGCAGTGTTGGAGGAGATCTCTCCGCAGAAGAAGTCGACGAGAGCATTGGCTATCCCGATGCCGACTTTTACGCCCGGAGAAAACGTTTGCGTCGGCAGCTTTGACGGATCGGGTAAGCCGAAACGAGTTGGTGGAGCTTTCAGCGCTGTGGTATGGGATGCTCCTGGATGGAAGGTTGTCAAGGCTGAATCTGGCTATTTACCGGACCTCACTGTGAACGAGGCCGAGTACCATGGCCTCCTTCTCGGACTTCGTTTGATTGCCGATCTGCCGATCGACCGTCTCATTGTCTGTGGCGACTCCAATTTAGTCATCCGCCAACTGCGTGGAGAGATGGAGTGCAAGTCATCGGTACTCCAGCTCTTGCGTGAGAAGGCCAGAGTGATTTTGCGGTCTTGGCCGCAATGCGAACCCATCCACGTAAAAACGCGATTGGAACCAACCCGCGGATATGCTGGCGGGACAGGCGCTGCAGCGTGGTGCCGGGGTAGTTGTCGAGAGTCACACTGATTACACGGACCTCGAGACCTTGAATCGACTGGACGAGCTCCTCAAGACGCGCGAAGAACGTGACGCCCATCCGAAGGTAGGCATTGTCACGCGAAGCCGATCTCGTACTGTCGCACCAGTCGTGTTGCAGGAAGACGTCGTCAAGCAGCTGCGCTTGGAACGTATTTGCCGTGCTCAAGACGAGGAGGTGTGGATCTGGTCACTGAAGTGTTTCCTGCACGGTGATCTCTCTCAGATCTCGAGCCGTCAAGCCAAGACGTGCAGTAAACTGGCTGACAGTTACGAGGTCGACGAGCATGGCCTGTCCAGTCAAGGGGCGCGGTGGTGATGTCGAGGACCGTGGATCTATGGTGAAATTGGTAATGCCGAGTACACTCCACGAAGATCTCCTGCATCATTTCCACACAAGTGTGGAGGGAGGTCATCACGGAGTCAGCCGAACATCCCAAAAGCTACGGAGGCATTTCTACTGGCGAGGTATGTTCCGAAGTGTGCAGAAGTATGTCGGGGAGTGCGTTGACTGCGAGACGGGAAAAGGAAAACCCACCTTGCGGGGGCGATCGCCGGGCAATATCGCCGCTAATTACCCTTTCCAGGTCGTGGCTATGGATCATATCCCCACCCTCCCGAAGTCGTTCAAGGGCAACACAGAGCTCCTAGTCTTCGTGGATCTCTTCACCGGCTTCGTTGTGGCAAAGGCAAACGCGGACAGGACCGCACCAACAGTGGCTGAGGCATACGGGGAATGCGTGTTTCGGCGGTACGGAGCCAGCGAAGTAATCAGGCACGACCAGGAACCGAGCTTCATGTCCGACTTTTTCCGGTCGTTTAATGCGCTGCTGGGCCGGCGTCAGCGATCTACGCTCGCGTATAGACCTCAAGCAAACGACACAGCGGAGCGGATGGTCCAGACTATTTCCAGATCTCTGCGGATGTACGTTGAAGTCGAGAACCAACAGGACTGGGATGAATATGCGGAGCGGTTGGTGTTTGCGTTGAACACATCGCACGACCGAGTACGCAAGGACACGCCATTCTTTTTGCTGCACGGGTGGGACCCTAAAACGACTATTGAGGCATCGTTGGCTGTTGGAGGGACCGGAAGCCGAGATCTCGACCCACAGAAATGGAGGTTCAAGATCCAACGCTAATACCAACGTGCTCAGACAGAGACTCGTCGTCTCCTCGCCGAAGCTCGTGAGAGTCGCGCGGAAGCCCACAATGAGAACGTACCGGAGTCACCCATTAAGGAGGGATCGCAGGTGTGGCTGTATCTCGACCGAGTCAAGGTCGGATACGCTCGGAAGCTCGCTCACATGTGGCATGGGCCTTTCAGAGTCGCCACCATGGTGAGCGACTACGCTGCCAAGCTGGAAATCAGCGGGACTGACTACCGACTGTTCCCTATCGTACACATCTCGAAGCTGAAGCTGGTCCGACAGTTCCCCGAACGACCCGCCGAAGATCTCACTGTTGATGAAAGCGAACGATTTGACTTTAACGAAGAACTTCTCCCCGAGGATAGCTGGGAGGCACAAACTCGCGGTGACAACGAGTATGAAGTTGAAGAGATCTTGGATGTCAAGACGGAGAGACGCACCCGCTACGGTCGACGGCTCAAGGAATATTTGGTGCGTTGGAAGGGCCACGCGGAGACGAATTGGGTCAAGGAAGAACACCTGAACTGTGGTGGTCTGCTGTTCGACTTCCAGCAGAAGCGACGGAGCCGGCAGAGGTTCCATCTGATGCAATCGCGTGGAGAGGTCGACATGGCCGAAGAGTGAGGCGGTGTTGAGGGGTAGCGTGGTGGACGCTATCCGTAATGGTGGATGGTATTTGTTGCACATTTACATTTGATTGAGTGGAAGAAGAAATGGAGAGAAGACCACGCGATGGAATGGAGAAACGAGGTTAGTTGTGATGATCTGGTCGGACATTAGAATTACGACGAACGAGTACTCGGGGGCGACTTGGAGATCCAGCCCGGTGTCGCAGTGGCCGAGGCGCCGGAGGCGCGAACGCGCGTCCGACGACTGCTGAAACGCGCTTGCCACGACGCGCTGGGCCTGTGCGATGGTGAAAACCGGCACCGTTCGTGTCGGAGACTACCTTCGCGTTTTGTCGATTTTGGCCGGATCGCTGTCATCGCCGACTTGGAGATCCAGCCCGGAGCCGCAGTGCAGGAGACACCGAGGGCGTGAAGGCGTGGTCGGTGGCCATCGGACTAAGTGCAGCCCTACGCCTGGAGTTTGTGCTATGGCCTTGATCACCACAAATCACTTCCCAGAATGCACGGCGACCTACGACGTGCCTTCACGTCTCCAGTTGGGGAGATCTCCCAGTCATGACATTGACTGTGTACAATTAAGTTGTGGGGCGGGAGTGATATGAAATGGAGTCGAAGCCGGTGTATTACGATGTCGATAAAGAAGATGCATGCTCGAGGAGACTACCCACTAGCTACGTACATTGGTGAAGGAAGAAATGTCGGACGCTGGAGATTTCCGGGGGTCCTCCTAGGTCTGTTCAGCTGACTCAGGCTAGGCGATTGACGAGGTTGCCTTGAACTTGCCTCGAAGGCGCGTGCGGATGGGTTCGTTCATCGATGGGTGTTTGGCACGAGCGTTCCAGTAGAACAGGTGCCACGGCTCCGCCTCGTCAGTACGTGTAACAGATCTCCAGAGGCACCAGAAGCTCCCTTAGGGAACCACGGGCACGTTGCGATCAGCGGCAGGAAGAATGGCTCCAGAAGAATGTCAAAGTCGCACACATGAGTCTTGCACAGGCGGGCCACCTAGGCAGCAGCATCTTCACAAAGTGGGATCTCCGATTCTTACGATCCGAAGTGAACTTCACCTCCCAAGACTCAGCGCTGGCCTTGGAAATGGAAATCTCGATGGAGTGGGTGATCTCCCAGAACACAAGCGCGCCACGATTATCGTTCCGAGTCAGCACATCGCGGATGATGGCCAGAAGAGGTTGGAAGCGGGGATCTCCAATGTCGAATGAGACTGGGTCGGGCACGTTATCCAGGAAGATCTTCCAGGGACTCGCTTTGTATAAAGCTTCGACCGAGGCTTGTGGCCAGGGTCGATAGTCAGCAGGAACCGCCAGCTCCCCCTTCTTAGGGTTGCACACCCCGGCGGGTAGCAGCCAGTCGCGTGGTAAGAACTTCGAAGCGAGGTCTTTGGCTGTAAGCTGGTCAAGGCGGTGACCTGCAACAACCTCCCAGAGCCACGGCGTGACATCGGCAGGGCGCGCAGCTTCGCTGGACTCAGGTGGAATTGCGTGCGTGAATGGGCTTCGGGCTGATACAGAGATCCACGGGCTGTCAGACGGAGATCTATAAAAGTCGCTTGTCTGACAATGAGGAGGAGCTACGTACCCATCGCCGTAGAGGAAGACAACTCAGCTGGCGCTCCCTCGGTAGTCGCAACGGCGCGCTTTGCGCGCTTCGACTGTAACGTTGGATCAGAAGAGAGATCTCCACTTCGCTTTGCCGAGCCAGACGGGAGCTGCTGCGAAGATGTTCGCGCTGGAGGATCAGAGGAGACAAGGCTCGTGGCCGTTGACGCCAGTGTGGCAAGAGACGAACGGGAAGAGGCCGACGCCACGCATCGTTCCACCTCAGGTTGCGGAGTCGGCGCAGGTACCAGATTGATCAAGTTGCGCAACGCTCCAAGGTGTTCCTCACGCTCCGCTAGTTTGCTGCGGAGATCAGCAGAAGAAGCCTGCTTCTTCAGCAGCGACTGTCGACTCGCATCCAGCTCCGCCTGCAAGTCGTCGCGAGCGAGGGAGGCCTCCGCTCGCTCTCGTTCTACAAAGCAATAAACGCACAGGTCAGCACAACAGTCAACCCGCCACATTAGCACGCGCGATCATGACCTGCAGCCACTGTGCGATCCTGAGCTGTTGCGAGATCAGCCTGACGATGCTCCAAACTGTTCTTGAAGACGACGTTCACACGCCGTAGAACGGTGTTATGCTGAGTCAGCCGAGTGATCTTCCTCTCCAACTCCTCCAGTCGCTTCCCAGCCACCTTATGCCGCTGTGCGAGGTCCGGTAACGCTGTCGCTGTGGAGATCAAGGCGTTAGTGATGCAACATCAACAACCTCAGCACTTGGGACGACTTACCACTGTCTTGCGCCTTCTTCGACGCCGCCGCCGCTTCTCGTCGAGCTGCTTTTGCGTCCTCACGAGCTTTGGACGCATCCAAGCGAAGGGCGTCCATCCGTGGCGCTGCTTTGTTGACCAGCGTGCGCGATTGCGCCAACTCGGTCTGCAACCTGTCCATTGTCGCCTCCGCTTGGCGCAATTGATTGCGAGATCTGTCTCGTTCGGCATTGGATCGTTGCAGGGCACGTCCCGCGCGTCCGTCACTAGTCCGATCATCATCAGTGGCAGCTTCGCTGGCAGCCAACAGTCGGCCACCTGGGGTCACCGATGCAGCGGACGGAGTGACTTCATCGGCATCAGCTGAGCGAGCGGCGACCCGTGCGAGATCTGCGCGTACTTGTTGTTCAGCAGCTTCGGCTTGTTGACGGCGTTCTACTTCGGTGTTCAGGGCCTGCTGGAGATCTCGGAGACGACCGTCGGCTTCGTTGCGCACGCGTTGAACCTCCAGATCGCGACCATGGATGGATCGATGAAGACTTGCAGTGTGGCGACCAGATGCTTCAAGAAGATCCTGGGCGACGTCAAGACGGCCCCGGAGATCCAGCACCTCGTGATCGAGGGCCGCGGTGACATGAGCAGCCTGGATAATGCGCGCGCGTTCCGATAGAGATGGATGCGAACCGGAGTATGGAGCCGCGGCCGGTATAGATCGACCAAGGGAGTGACAGGCGGTACAATCTCCGTGGCTGTAGGTCGACGACGGGGCAGCACTCAGCGAAAGGACGCCGGCGGCCGACGACGAAGGCGACGACGTGGGTGGAGAAGCAGACATGGTGCAGGAGCTCTACGCGTGGCAGCCACCTGCTCGATAGCCTCACGCGAAGAGAGGGCGGATGTCGTAATGCGGGTTGAAGGATTGTGAGGCGATGAACCCGGAGGTTACCCGAAGGTGACCCGAGAGTGAGCCACTTGAATTATGGGACACCCTAGCTCGGCGTCTCGTATAGAAGGCCGGCGACTGATTACGAAACCCGATGGCGTATTTACGGAGATCCAGAACGGGGAGGCCCGTAACAAGGACGATGACACCGCACGGAGACAGCAGATTACGTCATGAGGTAAAGGCGTGCAGCATACTGGTTGGTTGGTTGGCCGGCAGACGAACCGCCGGTAGATAGGCAGTTCAGTTCAGAATTTCCAACAACGAGACAAGGTACTTCTTCATATTAATCTTTGTGTTGTGCGGTTAGCGCCTACGTGTGTACTGTGACTGTTTCCTACCTACATGCGAAGTGTACTCGGGGTTCTGGATTGATTTGGCCTCCCCGATAACCTTCTAGTAGCGTAGTGTGTTGCATTGTCTGGACTCAGGGGGTCAGCTCTCAGTGTTCGACAGTAGGACACTCTAAACGGTTTAGTAAGGTATTGGTGTGCGTCTCGCACTTTGGTTTGGACCCGCAGACTAGCTGCGGCAGGAGATCTCCAGTAGATCTCGTACATATTGTACAACAAGTTGTCATACAGTGGGAAGAGTTACCTCGCTGTACAAGTGCATCCGCGACAGAGTTAACCTAAGTCTCTGCCTGCGAGTGTAACGAACCCCATATTCACCCCTTCATATTACACGTCTTCTAGGAATTACGCTAGATAAAGATCCGAGTCTTGCTACAAGGGTACACAAGGTGAGGCCTAGAGATCTCGGGACTAGTTCTCGTTGTCTTTGGGTATTTGGCTTGCAGGGGCAACCCCCCCCCCCCCGTAGTTGCGTGGCAGGACACGTGTGGGAGTTTATTAGTTTTTATCTGAGGGACTCCACCACACGACTTCTGGAGACGAAGGCTGATGCAGAGGTGCGTCGTCGCGAGGGTAAGCTGGAAAGACAAAATCGTGCGCGTCACGACCGCGAGGAAGCGCTCGCTCGAACTCAGGACCTGCTACTACTGATCGGCGCGCTGACCAAGATGGCCTGAAGACAGAGTCAACGAGCGTGCAGGCTCACTTGAGCGAGGCTAGCCATTCACATTGAATTTGTAGTTGTTCGTCACTTACTGCTAAGCCTTCAAATCGAATGTGTTCTTCATTATCATGTAGCAAGCTCATTGCAGTGCTCGCGTCTCAGTCATCACATTTTAGTCAATTGTAGCAATCACGATCAGCAAATGCAGTTCATGCTGAAGGCGGTTGATGACAACGCAGACAGCGAAAGCGCTCAACTCACCTTCGGAGAGAAACATATTGATCGCGCCTTATAGAGTCAACATCAGCTAAGGCACAATACGACGACAAAGAGAAATGTATTGTTAACATCTTATAAACACAACCATCATAAGCTAGGCTCCTACTCGCTTGACGGCGGCAGCTGCATTTTGCTCGAGAACGTCGAATCTCCGAGATGCCGACCGTGCGCACACGGTAGTTAGCCATTCTGAACACGTTGCAGATTCTGCGCCCGCGGATGTTGGGGTCGTACGGCAGGGGGAGGTTGAGGCGGCTGTACACCTTCTGCATGCTGCCCATGCCTCACTCAGCCGCCTGCCGTACAGACGTGATTGCATTGTGGAGCGTTCGCGCGGAGCTCCTGAGCGACGGCCGAATTCTCTCCAGGTCGCCGTCTTTGAGAGGCGTCAGGATGCGGCCCACCATGGCAGTCGAGCATGGAAAAGCGGAGTCCGACACCACGATCATACGCGTATCTGGGCAGTACGCGGGGTCGAGCAACTTGGCGCGGAAGCCAAGCGAGGTGTCCGAGTCGTTCCACGGCCCAGGACAATTGTGCTTACTCCAAATGATACAGCCGTCGGCGGCGAAGCAGATCGTCCCAGTCACGAACACGGTGTGAAGCCACCCGTTGTACATGGCATTTTGCAGATCCGCATTCGACGGCTGCTGGATCTACAGTGCAGTAGTTGTTAGCGTGTAGCATTCTTAGCAAAGCAAATACTGATTTCAAATGAAACTTACCCGGAAGTTCTTCCCATCAATAAACCCAAAGGTGTGTTTGAGAAGTGGTTCGCGAGCCTCCACCAGCTTCGCCAACTCGGCTTGGCGAGCTGGGGACGGCCACGAGATCCGTGCGGGGGCGTATCCGCTCAGCGCCTGCGCCAGTGCTTCCTCGGCGCGCGCAAGCGTCCTCGACAGCGTGCTTGGCGGGGTCCCAAACAGCATGCAAAGGGAGCTTTGCTCCATCGAGCCGACGTAGAAGCAGAGCACGAGGCCGAGCACCTGGTGGTGGTGCTTCAGCTTGGTTGGACGCCCGCGTGTCGTTTGGCGCGAAATGTAGTAGAAGCGGCTAAACCGCTGCAGGAGCTGGTTGAAAGCCGACCTAAAGCATTGCATGTCAGATAGAGAATAGCAGTATGGTAAACAGTCAATAAAGATCGCACCTGGTCAAACTTGTAGTGTTCAGGAAGTTCACGTCGCTGCCGTACTTGTACACCATCATCCAGGCGGAGTCGCTCGGCGTGTCCAGGCACTGGGTGGTCAGGTAGTACCTGCTGTGCATAGCGATCTTCCAAGCCTCCTCCACCAGGGCACGGTACACCTCTCTGCGAGCGTCATGCAGCTCCTCGTCTTGCTCGAGGAAGGTGCCGGCGAGCACCAGCAGCGCATCGGCGTCCTCGGAGTGCATCCTCGTGTCCGACGCGCGCCAAATTCAAAAGTGGCGAAATCTAGAAGCTTCCTGACGTAAGTGATGTCCAGACCACTTTAAAAGTGGCAAAATCAGAAAAATTTCCACCTTTTCCACTTTCTGGCGAACCTTAAAGGTGGAGCAAATTTTGGTAAGAATGACCAGAATTCAAGTCCCTTCTGAAAGATACCACGCACAATAGCACTTACATAGCTGTCAAAAGGGCGAGAACACAGTACAGATGCATGCCATACGTGGCGGAAACTGCGAAAATGCTGTTAGAGTCGACGATCACGACTGTGCTTCTATTCGTAGCAAAAGACACTTGAGGCAATAGCGAAGTTCGCACGTTATAGCTCATCAACGCAAGCAGTATGATTCATCGACGCAAAGGCGTCATAGGTGTACTATGCAGTAAACGAAGCTAGGAAGCAAGACGGGGTTCCCGTACAGCCACGGAGGGGGACACCATGCCGCCACGCGTATGCAGATATGCGGTTGCCGCTTTGTCAATTTATACATTTGCGTATTTTGATCGATGTTAAACGAGGTTTGGAAATGGCAGCGGGGGCAGCGATCGGATGCACAGCGAGCTCGCAGTCTAACACAAAAGGTATCCATAGATAGGGGTTAAGTACTTACTACTGACCTGCAATGTGTCAGCCACCTTTAGGCTCGTACTTAGCCAGACGGTTAATACTTATACTTGGGTATTGTATGGATTCCACTTTTTCCACTTCCTGCCGAGAAAATGTGCCACTTTAGAGCAAAAAGTGGAGAAATTGACAATTGCCACTTTAACCCCCCCCCCCCCCCGCACTCAAACGTTGTATATGACTACATGTTATGAAAAAGAACAGCACGTCTTCTTCTACGTGAAATGCACAGGTGTATGTGAAAATATGCACAAAGAACGAGCAGTAATTGCAGAGAATGGTGGATTAGACTGATGATCTGATTGCTTACAGATTGCTAACAGGAACCGCTCTCCCCATCATGCGTATGAGACAGTGCTACCCCTATTATGCCCTGGGTACTCCGATCAGATTAGACAGGATATGATACATAGTTGTGGATAGTGGCTCGAAATGCTAGATGAATCTCGTCCGATATACCAGGGTATGTAAAAGAAGAGGTAAGCTGGAAAGAATGAACACCGTAGACACTATATTTTGCTATGTAAGGGTTATATTGCGCATGTAAGTACTAATATGCACCCCTCAGAGAGAGTGCAGCCTGGTGAGGTGGCACAATCCAATAAAACCGAGCAGGACGTGCGCTATAATAATGCTAAGACGCCATTAGCCCGCGGTTGGTAAGACGCGTCACTTGATTGCTAGCTAGGTACAGCGGTTTTTTTGTTTTCAAGGCATGCATAGCCTGGTATGTAGGGATGCAATCATAGGATACTTCCAGCATAAACCCGCCCTTGTGTTTGATTTTTGTTCACCATCAATAAAATGGACACTGCTAGTTGTAGTATATACACCCTGTTGAAATTTAGCTACCCATCCGAGGGCGTCTTAGACAACATGTGCGTCTGTCTGTGTCAACCAGTTTCCCGCAGGTTATAAAAATGTGTCGTACTTACGGAAGGCAATAGTTAGATCAAATACGCATACTTTTAACATGTAGTATACATCTTTAACATGGAGTATATTGATCAAAGCCAGGGACCGAAAAACCTCGCGAGTGCGGGGGGGGGGTTAAAGTGGTCTGGTGATGTCCATGGCAAAGTGACGGGTACATTCTAATTGTCTGTTGTTATTGCCTGATTCAGGGCACTTCCACACGGACACAGATGCTCGATGTAAGGCATTTGTGGTAGATGCTTTTAGCGATATGCCAACATATATCTTTTTAAGGCCTGACATACCTGCTGCAACTATGACAGCCCGTTAATGTATATATGGTAGGCGTCCACTGAATGGTGGTGACATACGCTAGTGCATGCTTCGCCAGGTAAAGCATACCCCCATTAATACACCAACTATTGCTTTGTAAAGGTAGAGGAGAAAAGAGAAGAAGTCGATGCAAGGACTGGACAATGAGTAGTTGACTTTCCCAGAATCGTGCTCAATAAGTTTTGGTTCGCTCATTGTGAATCACAAGTTGTGATTCTAATGAACGGCGATTCGTTAGTTTGCTGCGAGATAATCCAAATGCCTATATACTTCGATGGCATACCCGGCATGCGTTTATTTGAATTGCCACACCAGTAAGTAATTTCGGAAGGCTACTGGAAGTAATAACTATTACGATCAAATGCGAGCTTTTCTCATGAGTCACCAGCAAGATCGAGGCGTCTACGACAAAGCAAGCACCAACTGATCTGTTAACGCACTGAGTTTAGTATTGCGGGTCCTTAGGAGGTACAACTCAGCGATTTCGCTTTACTCAACGCAATGACGGACACGATGCTGATTTCTGAGTAATGCATATTCTGCTCGGAAAGCCGACAAACCGCTACTCCAGTGATGTACGGTCTTGAAACCGCTGATTTCCGAGGCAGAGCTGCGATGCCAACCCTGGGAAGCCCGGTGGGGCCTTAGAGAGACCGTTCGCGACCGGAGCAGAGCGGAGGTCTGTGATGGACGGTGAGTAGGCCGACGGAGTTGCACCGCAAAGGAGATTTTACATTAATGTGCGACCAAGATGCACTCTGAAGCATGCCGGAGGTCGTGTGTTCCACAGTCGACTTGAGTAGGTCGCCGTTGAGTTTCATGCTTTAGGAGGTATCCAGGCCACAGGGTTATTGGGATTCAAGGTAATATACCTTACCATCATAAGGCCCCCGTTGAGCCCCGCAGCGCAATGACGACAGGATCCGGAGCAAAACTCCAACTGTAACCATATTGGTAGTCAAGGTGGAGATTTAAGACAGCACACAACACGCTGTGGATACGATGCTCGCCGACGGTAAGTATTATATATAGTCCGGCAACGATCCAAAGTGGGTGAATCCTTTTGGTAAGAGTCCCAGGACCTGACGTAGGTACAGGCAAACAGCTGAACCTGGTTTTGCTTTATCTCAAGTGTGATTTGGCGGGTAGCGATTCCGAAGGACGTCCGGCTTAGCGGATAAAAGAATTCGCTGAATGCTTCTCAATTGGCGAACTGTTCAATCCGACGGACTCAAACAGCAAAACTCAGCGGTATTGCTACGCGTGCGCTCTAACCGCTTCTTCTTTATTCTCTATACATGATATTGAGATGTACTGCTAAGCTTCTCACGAAGCATGTACTACCGTATGTCACCACCATTCAGTGTCCGGGGGTCGAGAGACCTCGCCGTATCCAATCTAGTGTACTCCCTAACACATGTTAGCTGCTATACATGTTAGCTAACTGTTAGTTAGTGTCTAGTATTTTGAGCTAACATGTTAGTAGCGTTAGAGCAAAAGTATGGAGAAGGGTGAATACTTGCATCGAGGGCAGTCAAGACGAGCGATGTATTAAACTGAACACAAATACACCCTCAAAATTATGATTTTACCATCCAATCCAATGTATATACTTCGAAGTATCTGCTAAAATAGGGAAATATTGGCTGGGTGGAGCTCACATGGAGCGCTGGCACACTATCAGCGCAGATGATGACCGATTTTAAGAGTGAAGACGACTTAGGTGCCTCCTACCTATGTCAAAGTCCGCGGCGCAATATAGACACCCAGACCAACTACAAGTAATGTAGTAAATATATTCGTACACATGACTAAGTAATCTCCTCATGTACCTATTTCTCCCACTAGACAGTGTAGCTAACGTGTATAGTTTCCAACTAACTGTTAGTTAGTGTCCAGTAAAATGAGCTAACATGTTAGTGGAGTACACTAATCCAATCCCGCTTAATTGGGTTCGCCGCCTCGTAACTTATGTAGTACTTGAAGTACGAGCTTTGCTTTCTATCGCTGGAACAATATGCACATCAAGACATCTACACGCGTGACTGGATGCAGGGAGTGTTCCCTACTACAACTAGTCATTCCTAAACTAAACTAAACTAAACTAAACTAAACTAAACTAAACTAAACTAAACTGATACCGTGTAACTAGGAAGCCACGCTTACAAATGTACGAATGTGGTTGTTCTGTTTGATTTGATACTACGTAGTACTGGTATCAAATCAAACAGAACAACCACATTCGTTTGACGGTAAAAACTTTTTGTTGTAATACTGGTATTGTGCCTTTCACGTATTTTGGCGGGTGAGCTGTTAATTCAGGCGGAATTAGAGTCATAAAAGGGCGATCAACGCTTATTTAGTGCTAATTCTGCCTAAGATTGTGAGCGCTTCCGCGATCAGCATTTGAGAGCCAATCGACGGAGAATGGCATGGATTGGTGGGTAGGAAACCGCCAATCGCTCTGTTTCCGCCTAACACAGGCTGGATTAGCTTACCGGTATTCCGCCTTAACTCGGCCTCACCATCGCCGCTCCTAATTCGGCCACGGAGGGACGACCCGGAATTAACATGGGAATTAGCTAACTCGGGGCGTAATTAAGGTCGATAAGGGATTAGAGTTATGCCAGAATTATCACAGCAGATTAAGTGAAAGGCACAATATATCAAAAGAAAACAATACAATCAAATTAAAGCGAGCCTGAAGTGACGAGATTTTGGCACTTCTGATATTGTTGAGATATCCCAACAAACTTGGAACGACTGATACGCCATGGATCACAGGCCTTAAACGTCAAAAACTAATCCGCGATGTCTCTATCTCCCAACGGACGGATACTTCACTCGAACTCCACCGCTTACTGGCGACGACGCTCCTCGTACTCGCGCTGCACCTCCTCCGCAGACTTGTTGGACGTCTCCGGCACCAGCTTCAGCGACAGCAGGAAGAAGATGGCCAGCAGCACGATGAACGGAAGATAGCTGTAGTCGTCCAGCGCGTCCGCGATGTACGGGTACGCCACGCCGACGATCAAGTTGCACAGCCAGTTGGCGCCGATGCCGATGGACGTGGCCGTGGCGCGCACCGAGTCCGGGAACAGGTCGGCCGTGATGACCCACACGAGCGGCCCCAGCGTCACGCCGAACGCGATCACGTACAGCGCCGTGAAGACGATGGACAGCGCCGGCACGTCCACGAGGAACGCCACCGTCATGAGCACGGCCATGACGAACATGCCGGCGATGCCGCACAGGATCATGTTGCGGTTGCCGAAGCGCTGCGCCAGCACGCCCGTGAAGAAGGCCGGCCAGATGTTGATGAAGTTGATGATGAGCGTGCCCACGCGCGGGTCCGAGATGCCGGCGTCCTTGAAGATCGAGCTCGAGTAGTAGAACACGGCGTTGATGCCCGAGAGCTGCTGCGAGCACGACAGCAGGATGGCCGCGGCCAGCTGCAGGCGGTACTTGGGGGAGAACAGCGACTCCTTCTCAGCCGTGTTCTGGATCAGGCCCTGCTCGGCGTCCGGCTTGCTCGACGACTCCATCCACGATAGCGCCGTGTACACGTGCTCCTCGCCGTACAGACGCGCGATGACCTGCTTGGCCTCCTCGCGGCGGTTCTTCATGAGCAGCCACGCCGGACTCTCCACGCACAGCGACGGCGCCAGCACCAGGAACAGCACGGCCAGGATGACCGGGAAGGCCGCCAGGTAGCGCCAGCCCGAGCTCGTGTTGGCGAAGAAGAAGGTGATGGCCGGGAACAAGATGCCGATGGTGACCGAGATCTGCAGACCCAGGCCCAGGATGTTGCGCATGTGCGGCGGCGTCAGCTCGTTCGTGTAGGCGCCGAGCGTGCCCGTGGCCGTGCCCGACGCGATGCCGGCGATGAGGCGGCCGGCCGAGAAGGCCCAGACGTTCGACACGGACGCCTCGACGACGGCGCCCACGATCATGAAGATGCAGTTGACGAAGAGCAGCTTCTTGCGGCCCCACAGGTCGCTGAAGTGGCCGCAGCACAGAGAGCCGACCATGCCGCCGAAGATCCACGCGTTCACGGCGAACGTCCACTCGAGCTTGGAGTGGCCCGGGAACATGAGGCACGTGTCCTCGGCCACGGGCCGCGCGTTGCACTCGTCCGTGTCGTTGTACTGCGACAGGTTGGTCTGTGAGGACGACCAGCCGCTCTGGAAGGGCTGCAGCAGCGCCACCAGGATGCTCGCGTACATGATGAGGTTGGGCTTGATCTGGCGCGCGGCGGCTTTTTGGGATTCGTCGAACACGGGCACGTTGTCGGCACCCCTGGGCGTCGTGGCCTCCGAGTACACGGGGTCCGTTTGCGCTTCGGACGGCATGGCTGGTTGGGCTGGGTTGAGTTGAGTTGGGTGTGTTGGTTGGTTGGCTTGTGGCTCTTTGCTTGATGCTTTGAGCTCAACTTGGTCGAATGAGAACTGAGCTTCTGGTCTCGCGACGAGTTGTCGGTGATATTGTGCCGCGTGGTGCAAGGCCGCCTTGCTAAGACAGTGTTTCTTTCGAGCGCAAGTTTGGATAACTTGATTCCTTGCTGTGTCTATGCATCTTCGGAGCTTGGGACACTTTGCATCTTACCACTTCAATCACGATGATAAGGCGAGATAAGTGTATATTCAACGTTTGGATCCGGCTCAGAATGTCCTCACTGCCACCGGGAGCGATGAACGATCCCCTGCACTTCAATTCTTACATAAACTAGTAATGGAGCATCTCAGTCGCGTTGCTCCGTTGAGTTGCTTCGGGGGTCGACACCCTGCAGTGGAGTCTCCACTTCAGGCCGACGTCCCCACCCTCTAATTGATCTTATCAATCACCATTACTATTTTTTGTGGTGTAGTGAAGCAAACTTAGGGCTAAGGGCGTGTTCGCGACCGTTGCAATTTAGAGTCTCAGTTTAACCCGTGCAGGTTATCAAACCAATAAGCAATTAGCAACACTGGTGGAGCTGCATGATGAAGTCTTCGTTATCAGCAAATAACGTTACTATCTATCGCGAGGTCAAGATAATCAACGGCAATTACACACCAGCAGCAAGAGAGCACTAATGATGCTGGACTATATCTCGCGAAACCCTAGATCACGGTTAACCGCAAGGGACGAGACCGTCGCGGCAATTGTTTTATAGCCGTAAGGTTATTCGCCCCTTCCGCTCGTGATTTAACGCTGCTAGGTGTTGCCAACCTCCAAGCTTCTCGCACATGCCAAACTACAATGCACTGTGTTAACCGACCTTCATGCAGGCCACTCACTACCCGTGAGGGGAGCGTCGTCTACAGGCAAAAAGATGGGCAGATTATAATTCAGTTTATGATGCTCCTGTTGTTTATTGAGTGAGCTCCCTTCATCTTCAGAATACAGTACACATGTATTGTGCATGTGTGTACTGCATCTTAGCCCATCACACACGTCGAGGGACGCGGTGGGCTGCACGTAACACAATGCAATTAGCTTGCCAGCGCGGGCGGTGACACAACTATAAGAAGAAGAAAGTAGCGAACCTCCGCCTCATTTAATTCAATTCTGTTTTGTGGTAGCCGATCCTGCTAAACTTGTGCTCACCGACTTATTCGCCTGTGCTTAACGCGCACACTGATCTGCTGTGACCAGTCACGGCGTGAGTACTATAGGATCAGCTTCAACCACAATGCGATGTCTGCCACAGACTCGACGCTCGCATAAATCCTGTAGTGCTGGCAGATCGGCGAAAGTGCAGCTGCTCCGTCTGGACTCGATACATGAAGCGCACTGCACCCTGCATCAGAGTGACCGGAGTGATGTCCGCGCAAGGTGAGAGTATGAAAACAACTCCATAGCAATACAGTTCAGGCCAGCTCTACAATGTAGAGCTCCTTGGTCGCAGCCGATGCGAATGCGTGGCGAACATCACCTCTGACAAGCTCTTAGTCCCCTTCACAAGCTGACCTTCACGGTGTGAGGGCGGCTGCGATCTCATACATATCTACGCTGGCCGGTGGTCCTCACTGGATTTATGCCTGCGCTTGATTGCAGCGTGCCGCCCCCGCGTCAATTGGACACGAAAAACATAATCTCAGCCGGCTCGCTTCAACGTGACAGGCAGGCCCACTTCAACTTTGCATAGATGTGCGCATGATGTGCCATTTCTGCATGGTCTCAGGATAACCCCACTTTTCGCTAGACGACGGGCAGCGTGCGCAACACAAGGCGCCGCGTATCGGATACACATGGCTCGCGGTCTTCTGCCTGCTGTACGCCGTCACGCGCGCGTTGTCTGGGCGCATCTTGGATCGGTCGACTTGATTCCGACTGAGAATCAAGGTACATTGCAAGTTGTGTCGGGCCTCACGTGCTATGCATGTACAAGCCCGCATTTTGGCAGGGCCAATCGATCTCCCCTGCCTCAGCCGACCACGCATACAAGCTTGTGTTGATCGTTGATAGAGCCAAGAGAACTAACTTACACTCTATTGTATCGCCACGGCCAGCAATTTCCGTAGTCGACCCCACGCGCACAGCTCTGCCACGTTGAAGACCAAAGCGACCTACACACGATCCGCTGATTATGCTGGAGACCCGCGCGAGACACTCGTACTAATCCGTGCCAGTGGTACGTGGCTGCATAGACCCACGCGATATAAATCTGCAGGACATGCCGATCCATACTGAAGGACGGCCTCTGCAGCAGCTACAGCCCCGCTGTCCAACTTGAAGGCCTCCTCACACTGTGCGTCACAGACACCAGACCAATGCAATGCAACGCCAGGCAGGACTGACAGGCAGCTCAGTTCCCATTTGACCAAGTCGAGCTCAAAGCATCAAGCAAAGAGCCACAAGCCAACCAACCAACACACCCAACTCAACTCAACCCAGCCCAACCAGCCATGCCGTCCGAAGCGCAAACGGACCCCGTGTACTCGGAGGCCACGACGCCCAGGGGTGCCGACAACGTGCCCGTGTTCGACGAATCCCAAAAAGCCGCCGCGCGCCAGATCAAGCCCAACCTCATCATGTACGCGAGCATCCTGGTGGCGCTGCTGCAGCCCTTCCAGAGCGGCTGGTCGTCCTCACAGACCAACCTGTCGCAGTACAACGACACGGACGAGTGCAACGCGCGGCCCGTGGCCGAGGACACGTGCCTCATGTTCCCGGGCCACTCCAAGCTCGAGTGGACGTTCGCCGTGAACGCGTGGATCTTCGGCGGCATGGTCGGCTCTCTGTGCTGCGGCCACTTCAGCGACCTGTGGGGCCGCAAGAAGCTGCTCTTCGTCAACTGCATCTTCATGATCGTGGGCGCCGTCGTCGAGGCGTCCGTGTCGAACGTCTGGGCCTTCTCGGCCGGCCGCCTCATCGCCGGCATCGCGTCGGGCACGGCCACGGGCACGCTCGGCGCCTACACGAACGAGCTGACGCCGCCGCACATGGCGCCAAC